ATAATATACTATTACAAACTGGATTTAGTCTTAAAACTTTGGAAAACATAATAGACTATTATATGACCCTTGGATAGGCAATGGTTTGGTAAACAGGACAAAAGCAGTAGTGCTCATCAAACACACTACTGAGAGAAGACCAGGAGTCACACTTTGGATCCGGAACATCCCCCAAAGGCCCGTGTCAGAGGCTTGATGGTTAGGGCGGTGCTATCAGAAGGTGGTGGAGCCCAGGGGGATGTTTTAGGTCACTGGGAACCTGCCTTGAGGGAGCTGTGGGACCCTAGTTCCTCTCTTTCTGTGCTTCTAGACCACATTCAGTGGACCAACTTTACTCATCAGGTTCTCCCATCCTGATTTGTTGCCTCTTCACGGCCCACAGCCATGGGGCCAATGGATCATGGATGGAACTGCAGCACTGTGGGCCAAGGTCAACCTTCCTCTTTAAATTGATTTATCTCAGGTATTTGTTACAGTAATGGAAAGCCAACTAACACAGAGTGCAAACAACTGACTGAAAGAAGATTCATCAACACACATTGAAAAACTCATATGAAAATACACAAAGAGCTTCTACAAATAAAAGAAAGCACACAGACTAAATAGGCAAAGACAGAAAAAAAGCATTTGGACCTTGGGGTGTAGCTTATCGGAAGGGCTGACAAGGGCTTAAACAACCCTTCCCATGAGAAGCTACTGCAGTGGGTGGTAAGTATTTAAAAGGAGTCTGCTGAAACTAAAACAAGAATGAAATATCAGAATGGCCGTAATTTGAAAAAACGGCAAGGACACATTTTAGCAAGGCTGTTTGTGGAACTCAGACACAGTCCATGGGTGGCACGGGGATAAGGGTGCTTGGGAAATCTCCTTGGTAATAGTATCAAGAAATGTTCGCCTTCCTTGTGACTTAAGAGATTCTATTTTGGCCAGAAAACTAAGAGAAATGAGCATATATGTGTGCCAAAATACACACACACGTATGTTCATGCCAGCTTTTTCATAATATGTCAGTTTCAAACAACTCAACATCCACTGGCATAAAAAAAAATAGTGGATGGCAAACACACTCAATTGACTACAATGTGCAGCAATAAAAAAATAAGGAACACCTGCTATGTAAGCAATAGGAGTACACCTAACATGGATAATAGTGAGAAAACCCATTAAATAGAACGTACTGCGTACTTGCTTTCATGTTGTTAAGGTGCCAGCGCAGGCAAAATCAGTGTATTGTGAGAAAAGACAGAATAGTCTTCATGTGGTGCCAGGACTGACTTCAAAGGTGGCCCAGCCAGAGGGAAGGGACCCAGGGAAAGTGTTCGTATTCTAACCTGGGTGAAATGCACATACTATTCATATATTTATTATATACAACTGTAAGAACAATCATTAGGCCATATCTTAAAGATTAGTGTATGTGTCTGATCCCTCTATAATGATTTTTTGTTAAAGGTAAGGAGAAAAGATGATTTTTTTAAATATATAAAAGTATAAAACCTCATAATTCAGAAGCATAATTTTGGGAGTGGGAGAGATTTTATAAAACTCTGAAGTAAAAAAACAAATCTGCTGAGGCAGAGGTGCAGATACACTGAGCACCAGGGCTGGCTTGGTCCTCGGCACGTGTAGGAGGTGACGGAGGATGTGTGAGGCATCCTGAGAGGCGTTTCTCCAGGAACCCGCAGGAAGATCCCAGGGCCAGCATGGCCAGTCTCCTGCCTTAGGGTTGCTCTCTGTCACCTGTGGAGATGAGGCTCTGACAGGTGCTGTGTGGGGTGCTCGGTCTCACTCAGCCTTGAAGGATGACCCAGTGCACACGCAAAGCACATAGCAAGCGAGGCCTATTGCTTTTGGATGGATCTGCAACCCTTACCTCCTATAATTAAGCGCTGACCTTGTGGTCATCTGCTTTTCATTTGCATTTTATTTTCCTTTCTTTTACTGGGAGGTAGGGGAAGGGAACTTAGGTCTCATGCTTTGAATTGGAACTCTCAACTTCTCTGGTACAGTACTGAAGTTGGAGAGAGGCAGGAAGGACGATGCCTGTTGTGCATGCTCTGCAGAGCATCCCTGAAGGTCATCCTGGGTGAGGAAGAAAAAATCAAAGCCTAGTAGCTTCTCCTTTGAAGATTCTGACCTAGTATTTTGCTCTCACACTTATGCCCAGAAAGCTAGCTTTGACTCATTTAGCTTAAAAAAGAAAAATCTTTTCCCAGACTGCATCATGGGAAGGAGGGCCTTCCAAGGTAAAACTTTCAGGTCTACCAAGGTGACAACTAAGTCCATTAAGTAGAGCAAAGCATTCCAAACACAGGAAGAGGTCACACTGCACTCCTACATAATAATAGCACGTTGAACTGTGCATGAAAGAGGAAGAGACAACGCAGAGATATAGAAAAGGTATCATATTTGCTTTTCCATCGACTGGAATGTGAAACATAAATGAATAAAAAATACCAGGATACTTCACATTATACTGATATTTCACAAAACCACTCAAGTACCGGCTGTTTCTACTATAAACAACTTGTAAGAATTTACATTCACACTCAAGAAATAAATGATTGGTAAGAAGTATAAGACTTTGCCCAAGGAACCAAGCAATGAATGTCTACGACCTCACTCAGAGATTTAGAGTGGCACACTGACCGCGACTGAGGCTGACAGTTTGAGGTTTAGTCCCCAGTCCTCAGTCTGCCAGCCATGTAATCTCTGGGGAAACTTCTATCAGTAAAATGGGCACAGTGTTGACAGAGTTAAACTCTGGCAGGCTGAAGCTACAGGATCACAAGTTCAAGCCCAGCCTAGGCAGCCTAGCAAGACCCTATCTCAAAATTAGAAATATGAAAAAGGGCTGTGCATTCAGAGAAAGAGAGAGAGAGAATGAGAGAATGAATGACGTCAGTCCTTGCCCACTCTTACACTATTACTGTTTGATGATGACTTTTACCCATGTTCCATTACCATATTAAAAACAGGACCTGGGGATGTAGCTCAGTGGTGTAACACCTGCCTGGAAGGTGCGAGCTGAGACCCTGCGTTTGACGCCCAGTACAATAAAACAAAACAAAACACAGAAGCACGAAAGAATTCTATTCTTGTTGCAGCTGTCTTACAGTATACTAAAAATTATGCAGAGACTTTCCATCTAGGTTGCCCTCCATATCTGTGGGCTCTGCATCCTCAGAACCGACCAAGCCCCAGTGGGAAAGGTTCTCCTAAAATACTGCATCTCTACCGAACGCGTACAGACTTCTTATTGTCCCCTAACAATACACTGATGAACGCAGTATTTCCACGGCGCTGGTGTCGCCCGTGATCCCAAAGTGATTTAAAGTAGAAGGGAGGAAGTTCTGAGGAAGTACGAGTCCATTTCACACGAGGCCCTTCAGAGTTCGGGGTCCCCAGGTCCTGGAGCCCATCCCGAGTGGACACTCCAAGCAATGAAGCAGCATCCGAGGCTTCAAGGCCGAGCTGCGTGGTGAGCAGGGTTGGGGGGGAGGGGAGACCGCTGGACGCGCCCCTGCCCTGAAGCCTGGCACGTGGCCGACCTGGGCCCCGCAGTGCCCTGTGACAACTCACCCTGGCGTCCTCCCTCGCTGGCGGCCGCTGTGCTCCGCTGCCGGCCAGAGCAGGGCCCTCTCTTCGTCCTCCACTGCTGAGCTCCTGCTGCCATTTCGAAGCAGGGAGGCCGCGCCTGCGCGGCTCAGACCTCGGACCCGGAGGGAGCTAACAGCTAGGCTCCACCGCCAGCCTTCCAGAAGATTCCCGGGTTCCGCTCCCGCCCTTCGCTGGATGGCTCTGGGGCCGCGCACCAATCAGGGCGTGCGCTCGGACCGACCAATCCGAGGCCGGGAGCGGCTATATAAGCAGCGCTGTACACACGCTCCTCTCTCGTGTCCAGTGCAGTGTGCGGAGCTCCTCTGAGCAGCAGCGCAGATGTTGTTTGAGATGAAGACCCACTGGGTTCCTGTGAACCGGCTCCTGGTTTATTTCCCAGGTAGTGTGGGCTCCCAAACCCTGTAAACCTCTAGGCATTCTTTTCACGAGCCCTGTGGACACGGACCCGGTGGGGCTGTGAGCACTGACGCGCCACGGAGCAGGCCCCAACTGAGATGGCGGCAGAGCGGGCGCCTGGTTGTGGACACCGCAGCTGTCATCCGCTGCAGGCCGCGTTCCTGCTGGTGGATTCAGGATTCAGGGGTGGGGTCACATTCGACCTCAGCTCTCCCCCCACCCCCGCACCAAGGATCAAACCCAGGCCCTTGCGCGGCAGGCGCGGTGCCTCTGAGCTACATCCCATCCCGGCCCCCCAGAACCCCAACTTTCATTCTGCGTGTTTTATGAACAGAGAACCAGTTGTCACACTCTTCCATGATTGTAGAATAGATGAAAATATAAAATTTTTTTAAGAAACATTTTTGACTGGAAAAAGAAATTCCTAGGGAATTCATTGCCTCTGTTGCCAGTGTGATATTTCTGTGGTGAAGGACTAGCTTTCTGGACGACGACTGAACGTGAAAACAAACGCACGGTTGAGTGAGGAGTAGGAAAAGGCACCCTACGGAGTGCACTTGAAGGCCGGCTGAACAGAAATTGTTTGTTTTATTGTGACTTAGGATCTTCCTCCTTCCTTTAAGACGGATTTTCTCTGGGCTGCTTACTGGTATTCTCCTTTCCTGAGAGGAGAATAGAAAGGGCGCGCTCTGTCGGGGTTCCCAGGGAGCCCCTTCCCGGGCATGGATCTCGGGGTGCACAGCCGCAGTCCGGCTGACTTAGCCCTCAGCGTCCACGGAGCGGCCGCGCTCAGCAAGCCCCGCGCCTCGCCTCGGTGCCCCCAAATCGCGACGCGCGGCCGGGGCGCGGGCGGAGAACGATGCTGCGTTGAGCCGGCAGGAGGCGCGCGGACTCCGGGCTCCCGAAGTTTGAGCCCGGGATCTCCCCCCCGGCTCCCCGCGGGATCCCCAGCCCCCTCCCGGGCCCCGCCCCCTCCCGCCTTCCACTCTGAGTCCATTCAGACCTCGGCGCGGCCCAGCGCTCTCTGTCGCGCGTGGGATCCGAGACTCCTCCCCGCCAGGACGCCCCGCTGTTGTCGCGGATCCGCGCCTTCAGCCCCCACCTGCCGGCTCCGCTCTGCGGATCGGGAACCCCAAGCCCGCCTCCTCCGCCCCGGCCGCGCGGAGCCGCGCAGAGCGTGGGGAACCGCAGGCGCCGCCGTCGGGGGCTCCGTGGCCTCCAGCCGCTCTGCGCTGCGGCCAGCGGCGGCCGATTGAGCTGTGTGGCGCGGAGCGGGGGACGAGGCCCGCGCCCGAGGTCGCCGCGCGGGCTCCAGGACCATGGCCCCGAAGCTGCTGCTCCTGCTCTGCCTCCTCTCGGGCTTGCACGCGCGGTGAGTGGCGCAGGGCCCCCATTCCGAGGCCCGGAGCCCGGAGAGGGCGGCGGGGGCGCTATCTACCGCGCGCATCCCCGCGAGCCCGCCGTGGGCTGGGTTGGGCACTGCTGGGAGGAGGGGAAGCTTCCTGCTCCCCTGTCCCGTCTCCCTGGGACAGGGCCACCTGCCTGGCCTGAGGGCGGCTGCAACCTCCCTGCAGTAGGGAACCCGGACCAGACATCAGTGGGCTCTTCTGACACTTTGGGTCCCATGGTTCTAGGAGGGGTTTGAAAATCAAGATTATAGGGTAGTGGTTGTATGAACTGTATTTCCTTATCAATCTCTTATTTGCACCCCAGAAGTTTCAGGGGCTCGCGTGCGTGTGTGTGTGTGTGTGCGCGCGCGCACACACACACACACACACACACACACATTGATATCTCTATGGAAACTACCTCTGAAAATTGCTAGGACCCAGGAATCCTGGTGTCATAGCTGCATAGTTGAGACCAGACCGGCTAGTAGCACAGGCTGGAGGCCTTGGAGGGACACACCCTCTCTCTCTCTCCCTCTCTCTCTCTGCCTCTTTTCACACAAAAACAGACACACATCTACCCCACAAAGCAGTCATGTTACCTTGTTTATTAAAGCTTCTGCCTGGAGAGCTGGGCATTGTGGTGCACATCTGTGATGTGCACATTGGGAAGCTGAGAGGAGAGGATCAGAGTTCAAATCCTCCTGGACAACTTACTAATACTGTCACAAAATAAAGAAGGGCTGGCGGTGGAGCTCAGTGGTTTGAGCAACCACCCCACCTTCTCAGCCCCCTCCCCTGCAAGATTTCTGCCTGGTAAGAAATTATGTCACCCTTTCTCCCAGAACAGCAGAGACCTACACTGGATTTAGCCTCCAGAAAGAGATGAAAAGGGCTCAGGAGGATAGAAGGGCAGTGGGACAGGAAGGGCAGGAAGGGTTAAAACCTGTTGGTCTAAACAGAGGAGGAGATTTCTGAGGTATTTAATTCTGTCTCTCAGGCTGGACCTTCAGGCTGCCTATGCTTTGCAAAGCACATTGCCTCCTGGCTCTCTGTTAGACTCCCCCATCCCGAATCTCAGCACACCCCTGTTCTCAACTTCTCAATTTCCTGTGTCTGGGAATTCGAGAATTAGACAGCATCTCCTTGGGTTCCAAGCCCTGCTGCTGTCAAAGGTCTTTGTTTGCATTGGTATTTGTGAAACACCAAGGAACTAAAAAGACAGTAATAAATGCTAGGACATGTGGCTGGGTCCCCTACTTTTACTGACACAAGTGCTTACCTTAAAAAGAAAACGCTTGGCCTCCTCTCCAAGCCACGTCTTCGTGGAGTTGATAGTGCGAAAGCAAATTCTGCTGGAGACTCACAGACAACTCTGAGGTGGAACAATTGGACCTTGCGGCCAGAGTCCTTCCTGTGTGAGGAGGGAGCTGGTAGAAAGATGGAAATGGGTGTTTTGAAGTTGATTGACCCTGGGGTTCCTGCTTAGAGGCAAGCAGCACCAGACACAACATCTGGGCCTGGAGTCACTTGACCTTTCTCATGCAACTAACTAAAGGAACCGAGCAGTTCAAGGCTAGGTAATCAGCTGTGTAGATCTGTATTATTAACATTCTAGAAGGATGCTCAGTGGGAAGATATCTCAGTCTCACTAGAAGTGGTCAGGTTTGTGGGAATTCCCAAGGGCACATAAAATTGTTTCCTCAGCAAAGCCAGATGTGCTGGTTTTAATGTGTTCTCTATCTGGGGTCTCAGCTGTGGTAATCATGATTGCATACCAGTTGAAAAAACATGCAAATGTTATAGGAATTGGATTGCTGTATCTTTCTCCTTTGAAAAAGTCTTTGTTCTTTGAATGGGTTTTACATACGTGTGAAATAATCCGATGGCCAGTTTCTTCTTTCAGAACTGTTACTCATTCTGAAAGGGCTTTCATTTCCATTCTGGAATACTTTCATGGTAGGGAAGAGCCTTGGAAAAGGCTTTGACAGTTAGGCTTTGTGGGTGAGTTACTCTGATTGGAGTGTGGCGGGCTTTCCATCCGGACACCCAGCAAAATGCAGTAAGTCACACTTAGACCTTAGTGATGCATTAAAGATGCTCAGCTGCTTCCTGAGATTTATTAGCTCCTTTTAATGTTTGAAAATACATCAGGCTTTATCTCCTTCTGGATGAAAAGAAGGTGTAAGGCATGGAAATAGTGTCTGAGGGTTGGCCAGTTATTTGACAATGACAATACATCACTGATTTATTTTTAAGAAAAAAGCTAATTGCAGTAATGCTGCCTAGGATGTAACTGTCCAAGTGACAGAATGCTAAGGATTATTTATATGTAACCCACTTATGATTTAGGAAAAAGAAAAATTCAGTTTTATCCACCCTCTATTGGTTCCATGAGGGGAGACTTGGTTTTCCTCACAGCAAGCGTCTTCCTGTGGAGCTTGATGTCTGGCACTAGCAATGTGCAAGGCTTCTGGTGCATCTGCACAGTGGGGAGAGAAGCACAGAGCTCCCAGCTGAGGGGACAAGAGCATCTAGGCCTCCTCTGCCCATGGTCAGAGCAACAGAGCCGGAGTCCAGGTGTACCTCCTCAACGGGTCACAGAAAATGCCCTCTCCTTTCCTTTCTCTGTGCTTCCGCCCTCCACTGCCTTTGCCACTCAGGAGGAAGCTTATGCAATTTCAGGAAAACATTCACCACTAGAGGGAGAATTAGACTCATTATAATACCTGTTATTGGAATAGCTCAAAGTAATTTTGAGCAAGGAAGGCTGTTTGTATAGAGGATGAGGAGTTGGTGGGTGTGCTCAGTCTGTGCACCTGTGACCCGTGGGGCAAGAGAAGATCACAGAGCCTGGGGCCCGTGATCGGGTTTTATAGTGGTGAGGAGGTAGAGATCGGGAGAAGGGGCAGAGAAGGGAAGAGAAGGGGGAAAAGAACGGAGGGAGAGAGAGGGCAGGGTGGGAGGACGGTGAGAATGCTAGAGCAGCCGGCAAGAGAACAGCGTGCTGGCTGAGGTGGTAATCACAAATGCATACTAGTTGAAAAAATGCAGACGTTATAGGAATTGCATTGCTATATCTTTCTCCTTTGAAAAAGTCTTTGTTCTTTGAATGGGTTTTACAGAAGTGTGAAATAATCTGATTCCCAGATTATTTCTGATTTCACTTTCAAAATTGTTATTTTGAAAGGTGTGCTGAGATTGTCATATGATCATATGATCCCACTGAGGGAGCTCCCTTTCTTTCCATGTCCCCAGCTCAGTTGCACAATTGCCAGGTCCTGTGGGCAGTGCTTGGCTCCCAGTCATTTATCAAAATGCTTCAAACTCCTAGGTTTGCAAGATGGCAATATTAACATTCCTGATACTGCTCCTGATAACATGTTTTAGAGCAGTGTCTAAAATTCCATAATATTGTTTGTAAATTTAAGTTTTACAAGTAGTGAAATTCAGCATATCACTTTTAAATGTATGTCTCAAATGTTATTTATACATTTCTATTGATGGTGAATGTTCAGTGTGAATAAAAATCCACAGAAATTTGTAGGCTGTGTGGATGATTAATTTGACCTTCTAGCCAAGACATTCAAGAAATAGAGTTACAGTTTAACAGTAACATGGGAAGAAAAACTTAAGTAGAGAAGTCATTGTGCAGGGAATAGGCTATGCACTCATGGTGAACATCTCATATACATGTCACAGCCAGACCTTCATATCTATGAGTTCTTCAGATCTTCATATCTTCATATCTGTGAGTTCTGCAGTTGCAGATTCAACCAATTGTGGATTGAAAATAGTTTGAAGGATTGTGCTGAACATGTATAGACATTTTTTTCTTGTCAGTATTCTCTAGACAGTATTGTACAGTGACTATTTATATAGCATTACAGTGTACCTGGTGTACGTGATCTAAAGATAGTGTCTATTAGGGTTATAATAGACATATCTGGCCTTTTCCTACAGTTGGCTTGAGCATCCTTGAGTTGTGGTACCCATGAAGGTGGGTTGTGGAGCTAACCATAGGAAATAAAGACACCTGTATGTTCATCCAGATTTAGACTGCTGATCATTGCTCTAATTGATGCTACAGCTTGTTCAAACTCATAAAATTTATGTATATAATATATTGACACATCTATATATGCATACACACATAATACATAAATTATTCTAAAGATTTAAATGAAGTAGATGTACTGAACTTTAAAATGTACTTTTTATTAATTTTATATTCATTATAAATCATATAGAGAATTCCAAAAATTTCCTTTAGAAAATATACATCCCAGAGCACCCGTCTGGTGACATGGTCCTGACAGTTTGGTTCCTATCTGGGAATTTGGATATAAATGAGCTCATGTCTATTCAGAACCATTCTACCTCAGTGCAATTTTGTATTCTTTTCTTTCTCCTCTTCTGTGAAGCAAAATATCAAGTTCTGCACACTGACAAACTAGAATCTAGGTGTTTTGCTTGTTTTGTGAGCTCTCTTGCCCTGCCAGTAGTGATCCACGTGCAAGTAAATTCTTTTTCTAAGGAGAAAGAGACTGGCTTCTAACGCTGAAGGGCTGTGGCTGAGCTAGCCTCCCTCACTGCAAACACTGGCTTGTCATCTCCAGGCCTCTCCATTGATGCACTCTTGTCAGTGAATATCACCAGCAGAGCAGTCTCTAGTCAGCAACACATGAAACAGTTTCTGAGATGTCCAAGCATTCATTGGGACCTGCTTGTTAAAAACCCAAAATATAGCTTGAGATCAGCCTAGAACATTTGAGACCCTGTCTCAAAACCAAAAACACTGCCCAAACCAAAACTGATATGTTAAAGACATACTAGAGAGATTTTAATTCTTAATGTCTGCATTAGCCTGCAACAGATGAATCCAATTTGTGTTGGCGGAGGCCAGTGAAATTGCCAGAGGGTGTTCCCCAGTCACAAGTAGCACCTCTGCTGCTGTCCCATACATGAGTGCTGGCCAAGCAGGCACCCTCAGAATGTCCACACGTCTGCCTCCACCCCCACCCCCAGACTCCAGTCTCCAAGAGAAGCACAGTCAGAACCAGCTGTTTTCAATGAGTCCATTCTGTGAATTCCGCTCTTACCTTCAGCTAGAATGAGGTCTTTTCCCTGGGAGAGAAAACAACATGAGAAAGTAAACCTTGGAAAACCTTTGAAAGGTGTGTGTCTTGATCCTGAGGGGTTTCCAAGGTGTGTCCAAGAATGGCTCACTGGCTGCTGACTGATCTGACATAGGTTTCCATGTCATGGGGCCTATAGCTTAACTGTGATATTTAATGAAAACAGTATGCTATGTTTATAGCAGCTGCATTCTTCCTGTTTCTTTTTAATTTTATATACAACATATGGAGATGTGCTTAGGGTCATGGGACTTTCTACTCATTTCCATGGTATTAGAAAGGACAAATTGAAGGCATGGTGTCTCCAGGAAGAGCCCTTGCTGCAGTTTATGTGTTGTTTTTTGTGTCATAACTACAGGTCCAGAAAAGTGGAAGAGGATGAATTTGAAGATTCTTCATCAAACCAAAAATGGGTCTTAGCTCCAAAATCTCAAGACACTGATGTGACTCTCATTCTCAACAAATTGCTAAGAGAATATGATAAAAAGCTGCGGCCAGATATTGGAAGTGAGTACTGTTTGTTATTCCAATAGAAAACAGAATATGGTGATGTGTTTTTGAAGTATTTATTTTTAAATAATTATAAATTCAGAAAGTCTTGCAAAGATAGTGGAGAGAGGCCTCTTGGACTCATCACACAATTCATAACTTCAGTATGGTAGTGAGGCCAGGGGGTTGACATTGGTATGACGTGTGTGTGTGTGTGTATGTGTGTGTGTGTGTGGTTCTATCACGTTTGTCACTTGTAAATTTGTATAACTGCAGTGAAGATCCTCAGCTAGTTCATGACCGTAGAGATCCCCTCTTGCCATCTTCTTATAGTCATATCTATTTCTGTTCTCCGAATTTCTAACAACAGCCACTAATTTGTTGATGATGGCTATATTTTTGCCATGTTGAGAATATTATGTGTGGAATCATCCACTTTGGAGATTGATTTTTTTTCCGTTCAGCAAAATTATTTATATTGCATGTGTCATTAATTGATTTTTCTCATGCTGCATAGTCTTCATGCTGTACATGTACCACAGTTCATCGTTCATCTATTGAGAAACATTTTGATTGTTTCCACTTTTATCTATACACATAAAATGATTATATTCACATGCATACTGGTGTTTTTTTGTGCTGGAATAAAATTTTATTCTCTAGGATATATGCCCAGCAGTATGACTGCTAGAATGGATGTTTGAAGTGTTTTTTCAATTTTTTTTCTTGTAAATATAAATTCACTTTTCAAACTGAGGTAATTTATGGGGGTGATGTGATCATTCGATATGTGTATGTATTACATGATGTTTAGAACACAGTAAATTTATCGTCATTCATTATTTTGTTATGGTGAAAATATTCAAAATTCTCTCTTCTAAGTTTTCAGAATATGTGGTGCATTATTTTTACCTGTAGTCACCTACGGTGCCGTGTCACACTCCCAGCTGTGACTTAGCCCCCCGTGCTTAACCTCTCCCCGTGCCACCTTCTCCCTGCTCTCTCCAGTCCTGCTTTCTACTCTCTCTCACCATTCTTCTCTCAGCTTCTCTTTTTCAGGGAACTCAAACTCCTTTCCAAATGACTATAATGTTTTCTATTTGCAGCCAGCGATATCTGAGAAACTCAGTTCTCTCTGTTCTCATCAGCTATTGGTATAGTCATTATTTTTTTGTGTTAGCAAGTGTAATAGGTAAATACTTAATAGGCTGATAGGCCATTGAGGTCTTAATTTGTACTCCCCTGATTGTTAGTGATAGTGATCACTCTGTCTTGCTTATTTCTCATCAGTATATCCTTGTCATTGAAACACTCCTTTATGTTTTACAAGTTGGATTATTTTGTTTCTTATTTTACATTTTTACTGCACAGTATTAAAAATTCTCTATACATTCTAGAGTCTTTGTCAGATCTCTAGCTTGTCATTTTATCCTCTCAATAAGAACTTTCACAGGGGAAGATTTTAATTCTGATGAAGACCAATTTATTTATTTTCCTTTTATGGAGAATGGTTTTGGAGTAATCTTTAAGAACTTTTTAAGATGTTCTAATTCCTGAGGATTTTCTTCTAAAAGTTTTATAACTTTATGTTTTACATTTTAAATCATATGATTAAGTTAATTTTGTATAAAATCAAGGTATGAGAATTGTGATCTATCCCTTTCCCCATCTCCAGCTATGTCACCACAAGTTATTGAAGAGATAAATTTCTTTATTGAAATATATTTATTCAGTTTTCAAAAATTCATTGTCCTTACTAGTGTGGAGTATTTCTGGATTCTCTGTTTAATTTGTCTGTGTGTCTGTCACTCTGTCCGTGCTTCATTTGATTACTGCTGGTATGTAATACTCTTGAAATTGAAGAGAGCAATTCATCCTCTTTATTCTTCTGCACTCTTGTAGTTCATTTGCTTTTATATAAATTTTAGAAAAATATTTCCTATATCTAAAAGAAAAAAGTCTTTTTTTTTTTTGGTACCGATGATCAAACTCAGGACCTTGTGCTTGCGAGGGAGGCAGCAGAACCACTGAGCTAAATCCCTGGCCCTAAAAGAAAAACATCTTAACCCAATGTGGTGGCACAGGCCTGTAGTCCCAGCACTGGGGAGGCTGAGGCAGGAGGGTAGCCAAGAGTTCAAGGCCAGCCCAGCTTGGGGCCGGGGATGTAGCTCAGTGGTTCTGCCGCCTGCCCTGCAAGTACAAGGACCCGAGTTCGATTTTCATACTTAAAAAAAAAGACCAGCTTGGACCACACAGTGAGACCCTGTCTCAGGCCACTAATTAGTAAATAAGTAAGTGAAGAAAATCTTATGGGGACGTTGGTGAGAATGATGTTATTAATATATGTCCGTTTGGAAAGAACTGGACATATGTACTATGTTGTCTGCCAATCTATGGACATATATGTCTTTCATATATTTAGAGATCTTCTTTAATGTCTTATATAATTGATTTCTAGGGGATAACAGTTGAATCCGATAATAATTTGTTGGATTAACACTGAAGTACTTTAATTTTTTGGATCATTCTAAATGGTAGTTTAAAATTTTTTAATTTTACTTTTCCTATGTTCATTGCTACTCTGCAGAGACAGAATTGATTTTTGTGTGATGTGTCTTCTGACTTGTTGAAGGTTTAGTAGTTTTATAAGTATTTTTTCTGATAGGTTTCTTATGATTTTCTGTATATAGCATCATATCATCTATGAAAAGTAGAATTGTATTTCTTCTTTTCTAATCTGTAATGTTTTCTTTTCTTGCCAATTGCTGGGGCTAGAACTTGTAGCACTCTGATGAATAGCAGTGGTGTGAGTGGATGTCTTTACTTCATTCTAGATCTAAGGGCAAGGTGTTCTGTATTCTACCATATGGGTGAAATGAGATGGAGGTACTCTGTATATGTTTTTTATCCTTGTGGAAAACTTCCATTAATTTCTAGTTTTCTAAGAGACTTTTAAAAATCATTCATGAGCATTGAATTTTGCCAGATATTTTACTGCATCAATTGATATAATCATGTGATTTTTTTCTTTTGCCTTAGTATGGCTGATTGCATTGATTGATTTTTTTCCAATATTGAACCACTGTTTTGTCTGTGGTAGTAAGTCTACTTGGTCCTGCCAGTTAATATCTTTTTAAAAAAATTCTCTTTTATGTATTGCTGAATTCAATTTGCTAATATTTTAATGATTTTTTATATATGTACATGAAAGCCATTGGTCTACAATTTTCTTTTTTATTTTCTTTCTTCTCTTTTCTTTTTTCACTTGTTTTTTGGTTTGGTTTTGGTGTCAGGTAACACCAACATCATAAAATCCGTTGAGATGTGCTCCTTCATCTTTTGTTTTATGAAACAGATCATGGATTATGTAAAAATTTGTGTCACTTCTTCAAATACTTGATGGGATTATCCAGCAATACCTTCTAGGCCAGGAGATTTCTTTTTTGGAAAGTTTTTAAAATTACAGATTCATTGGTTTAATGAATATAAGTGTACTCAAAGGATCAATTTCATGTTAAGTAAGTGATGGCTTTTTTTCAAAAACTTGTTCCATTTCTTGCAAGTAGTCAAATTTGGGCATGTAGAATTATGATATCTTTTGAACATCTGCAGGGCCTTAGTAACTTCCTTGTTTCCATCTGATATTGGTACTTTGGGTTATCTTCCTTTTTTATTAGTCTTGTTAGAGGTTTGTTATTCTAATTTTCTCCAAATATCGACTTTTTACTTCATTATTTTTCTCGATGGATTTTTTGTATCAGTTCCATTATATTTTCTTCTCTATATCATTGTCTTCCTTCTTTTTGCTTTTATTTTGGGTTTCTTCTTGAAGTAGAATTTAGATTCTCAATTTTAGACTATTTTAATGTAAGTATTTGGTGCTCTAAATTGCCCCCTCATCCCACAAATTTTGATATATTGTATTTCTATTTTCATTTAGTTTAATGTAGTTTTTATTTCCCGTGAGATTGTTGTCATTAACTCTTGGGTTACTTAAAAGTATATTTTTAGTTTCAAATGATTGGAAATTTTATTTTTCCTGATTTTGATTTCTAGTTTCATGGCATTGTGATTTGAGCATATACTCTTTATCAGTTCAGTTCTTCCAGTTTTGAATGTTTGATTTATAGCCCAGGATATTGTCAAGTTTGGGAAATGATCCATGGGCATTTGAAAAGGATGTATATCCTGCTGCTTTTGGTTGGATTACAGCCTCCCACTTGAGAGTATAGTTGAGTTCTTTTATATCTTCAGTTATTTTTTGCCTAGTTTTCTCTTGTTTGTCTTGATGGATTAACAATGGGGTAGACTGAAAATAGATTTTGGTCCAAGACAAGAGTGGTGTGCTTGGTTAGGAGAGGTGGTATATACAGTTGTTAGTACAGGCCCACACTGCACTCATGGGAATGGTAAGGGAATAGGAGGGTCATTGCAGATACAGCTTTTTTCCATTGGATGCCCCCAGGCTATGGTTTGTTTCTTTTCCATTGAGCTCTGTTAAATATACAGCCCAGCAGCTGGTCAGCCTTCACCCTTCCTTAGCTATACTGTTTCTCCATATTTTCAAGCCCAAGGTGCCAGTTTAGCTGGAGAAGGATCTAGAACTACCCTGATTCCAGTAGGCTTAGAATTTCAAAATCCTTGTGGTTAGAGTGGGGAGATTATACATACGTGTCTAGTGCAGTGTTGGAGAGGTAATGTCATCTCTCTGTGCCTTAGTTGCCTCTTCTGTGCAGTGAATGAGAGGAACCACATACTCTTCAGCTGCCTTCAGATTTAAAATATTTATTCTGTAAGGATACATTTAAATTACCATTGCACAAGGTTCAAAAATTTAATTGTCACCCCATTTTCCCCATGATAATTATGTGAGTCTATTCAGTGCGAAGAGTTTGAAGCAGTTGTATATTTACATGGAAAGGGATGTTTTAGAAAATAGTGCTAATTTCCTTACTGTCAGACACTGCAGTGGACCTTAAAAACAGTAAGCAAGAATCATTCCTTTCACTTGTAAGCAA